TCCTCCTCCTCCTCCTCCTCCTCCTCCTCCTCCTCCTCCTCCTCCTCCTCCTCCTCCCCCAGGGGGAGGCACCGCGGGGATGTCGAGTCCCCTGCACCAGGCCCCCCAGCGGGGCCCCTTCCCGCCAAGGCGCTGACGGGCGCCGCCAGTGTCGCCGCATCGATGCGCCCGAAGTGGAGGAGGAGGAGGAGGAGGAGGAGGAGGAGGCGGAGAAGGCGGAGGAGGAGGAGGAGGAGGAGGAGGAGGAGCAGGAGCAGCAGCAGAGAGGGGCGACACAGCTGCACGCCTGGCAGCGCCCTCAGGCCTGGGGAGGGACGGCGAGGATGCTGTGAGGTTGCGGCGGGGGGCCGCCACGTGCACGTTCATTGCCAACCCCTTGTGGACTTCCATTCCATTCCATGTCGCCGTTTCAGGCCTCCTGTGAGGCCCTCGTCGCCACCGCTGGATTCGCCTCGACATCCTGGTCAGAACGCACCCCGGGAGAGGTCCTAGGAGGGAAGGAGGAAAGGAAGAAGCAGCAGTGCCCCAGTCGAAGCGGAGGCCCAGCACAGGGCGGCGGGACACACGGACGAAGCGAGGAGAGGAAGAGGAAGGGGGAGGCGGGAGGAAGAGGGGGCAACAGATGCTCTTTTCGGGACGAGGACCCAACACACAGGAGAGTTGGTGACAAATGCTTCAGAGTCGGCCGATCTGGATTGATAGTCGGCCTGGGGGGGGTCTGGCTGGTTGTTTCATCTCGACCGTACCAGCAGGCGGAAGCACACACGGCGGGATCCGCATGCGGAAGGGACGAAGGCCACGCGCTGGATGTGCACACGCCGATGTGGGGGGGTCCGGCGTACCCATCCACGCGAGGGCCGAGCGCTCGAAAGGCATGCGGCCACCCGGCCACGCCAAGCGTACCCACGCGCCTGCTCCGACTCCAGGCTCGGCACCACGATGATCTTCTCGTCGCGTTTGCGCTGCACCACGCAGACGGCGCCCAGCTCGCTGTCGGTGGAGTAGCCGCTCCCCTTCGGGCCGCAGCTGCTGGCCAGCAGCTCGTGGTGCCACGGGTTCTGCCTGAGGCCCTCCTGAGCCTGGGGCTGCTTGTTCCTCGACAGAGGGGGCAAAGGAGAGAGGGGAGGGCGGGGCGGAGTAGGGAGAAGGGGAGAGGGAGGATGGAGAACGGACGAGGGCGGAGAAAACAGGAGAAAGGATGAGCGGTGAGGGACAACGAGAAATGAAGGAGAGGGGGACGAATGAGGAGGGAGGCCTGAGCAGGTGCAGCGCCGCTGGATGGACGTGCCTCTTGTCGACCGGCACCAGCAACACGAAGAGCAGCTCGTCCGGGGTAGTGCTGGGGATCTCCTCGGCCGACGGCTTCTCCGCGTCGTCCGACTGCTTCTCCACGCTGGAGGACGCCGTCCCTGGCTGGAAGACGTCGTGCTGCCACGCGGGCTCCTCCCCGGTGTACTCGACCTCGAACTGCGGGTTGCGATACCACGACAGGCGCGGCGCGCCAGACGCGGGGCGGCCGCCGCCCCGGACCACGGAGTGCGGCTGTCGGGCGGCCCACTCCACATCCTCTTCCGCGACGAGCTGCCAGGACAGCCTCTGGGAGGGCCCGACCTCCACGATCTCCACCGGGCGGCTCGCCTCCACCAGGAGCCGGAAGCCCCCCTCCTCGCCCACGGCCACGGAGGGCACGATGAAGACGGGCTGCAGCTCCTCCGCCTGAGCGTCCACCTGGAAGGAGCAGTGCGGGACGTCCTGGTCGGGGCTCGAGGACGCGAGCACCTGGAACCCTGGCAGCAGCTGGGTGCCGCAGCCGGCCATGGCCACATCCTGCTTGTTCTGCACGGCGTGCACCTCCAGCGTGGCCGTGCTCGCACTGGCCTCCACAGCGTAGACCGTCACCTGGATAGGGCCACCAGGCGTCGTCTCGCGACCCGACTCGTCGAGCTCCTCCTCGTCGAGGACTGGTCGGACGAAGAAGTACGGGTTCTCTCGCCAGGTCTGCGAGCCGAAGGATCCGCCTCCGTCCCTCTTGAACTGCCCGACGATGGTGGTGCCCCGAGTCCACTTGTTCTCCATGCCTGGCAGGTGGTCACGCAGCCAGTCCTCGCCGCTCCTCTCCTTGGCCGCCTCCAGGGCCACGCCGCGGTGCCAGTACGCAAGCGCCGCCTGGTGGTTGCCAGCGATGCTGGCAGCTCGCCAATCTTTGGCGATGAACTCCAGCTTCCTCCTCCGCAGCTCGGTGTAAATGCCGGCGAGCAGGTGCTCCGGCACGAATGCCTCCCGCGCGTCTCGCAGCGCCAGCTTCAGATCCTGAAGGTGGCTCTCCATCCAGATCTCGGCCATCCTCTGCTTGGCGTCAAGACGAGCGCCTGCCTCGCCCCGAAGGAGGTACTGGAGCCTGTCGGCGTGTCCCAGCATTTTGTCCCTCACGCTCCTCAGCGCGGACTGCTCCACGGAGAGGCGCGCCTGCTCGAGGTTGCCCACGCAGGCCGATATCTCCTCGGTGGGCGCCCATCTGTTAGCCAGCGCTGCCTCCGCGTCGCGCACTGCGAACTTGAGAGACTGCTCTGCGGCCAAGGCGAGGTACACCGCGTCGACCTCCGCGAGCGTGTCCCGTGAGAGCGGCGGACTCAGCCTCTTGGCCTTCTCAGCCGCGTCCTGCAGCCGCAAGAACCTGCCTTCCACGTCGAGTTCCTCGATGTCGTCGGCCTCTGTCAACGCGAGGAGCAGCTCCAGCTCTGTGTTGGTGTACTGCCAGAGGCCTGGGTCCCTGGCATGGAGGGTACTCAGCCCGCTGTCGATCAGGTCTTGGTCGGCGCCTGCCAACCGCGCCGTGACGATCGCGGATTTCAGCTGCATCAGCGGAACGTCCGGCTGTGCCACCGCAGACCTGAGGGCCTCCACCGTCTTGCCGTGGTGCTGCGACTGCTCGACGCACTCCTGGAGCAGCTGGGCGTCGAGGCCTCGGGGCAGCTGCTCTCTGGCCCTGTCGATCACGAAGGGCAGGTCTTGCGCGTACTTTTCCACCGCACCGAGGACTCGGCGCAGCTGGCTCTCGGCGCTGCTGACGGCCGCAAAGTTCTCGAACTTGGGCAGCAGGAGGTCCAGAGCACGGAGCTCGCGCTCGAGCGTGCGGATCGCCACCTCGCCCGCGTCCGACCCAGCCATCGTCTGCAGCGCCTCCCTGGACCGCTCCATCGCCTCCCGCGCCGTCGGCACGAACCTGTCCATCCCGCTGATGCTCTTCTCCTTGAGCACCTGGTTAAACTCACGGGCCCATAGCCGGAGGTGCACCTGCAGGACGGCGGACGTGAGGGTCGGGCTCTCCTCCTCCACGAACATCCCGTTGTGCGCCTGCTGGATGGCCAGCTCTAGCTGCTCGATGTCGCCCGACTCCATGGCGGTGGTGAGCGACCCAGTGACCTCCTCCTCCAGCCGCAACCTGAGCAGCTTCTGGGTGGCGTCCTCGAGGAAGTGCGCGGGCACTCCGCCCACCCTGGCATCCTTGATTGCTTCTTTCAGGAACTCCTCGCTCTTGGTGTTGATAGCCAGCTGGAGGTTCTCCAAGCAAACGTTGACCTGCTTTTCCCGCCAAGTGCTCAACGTCCTCTTCGCGTGCTCCAGCATGTCCGCGCTCACGCCCCGCTGCGCCACCTCCGCGATGGTGCTCGCCAGCGTCGGCCCTGCCGACTGCTCGGTGAGCTTGAACCCCTTGAGGCAGCGCTTCTCGGCGTTCTTCAGCTTCACCTCCGCCCTCAGCGCAGCGTGGCTGTTCTCCCAATCGTCCAGCAGACCCTGAGCCGTGAGCACGAGCTGGTGGTCGCCGGGCAGGCCAGAGCTGGCCAGGGCTGCCCGCACGCGCCTCTGCTCCGACGTGCCCGCGGGCGGCACGGTCCTGGGGCCCAGCGCGCCCTGGAGGTCCTGAACTGCGGCGAAGAGCTCGTCGTGCTGCGCCTCCTGGTGCTTCCGCTGCTTGGCCTCGTCCACGCCGCGCCGCACATCTGCCAGCAGGCCCGGGTCCACGCCCACCTTCTCGGCCTCGACGACGGCCGCCTCGAGGGCCGACGGGTGCTCCTTGGGATCGGCGGCGACGACGTCCATCCTCCTCTGGGCCATGCACCTCTGGTTCGCCGACCTCAGCCTCGACAGGGACTCCGTGGCCTCCGTGAACTCAAACGTGAACTCGCTGCTGTACGGCTTCGCCCGCTCGACCGCCCTGTGGAGCTCGCTCAGGTCATAGGGCGGCGTGTCCGTCACCGCCGGCGGGCCCCGCGCCTCCTCCTTCAGCATGGCCTGGTGCGCCTGGGCGAGCTCGGTGCGCGCCTGGGCGCAGCTCCGGCGCCACTGCCACAGCTCCAAGAGCGAGCGGGCCCGGTGGACGAGCGCGGTCCCCGCCTGCGAGGTCTGGACGTCCTTGGACGCGGTGCCGAAGAGGTCGATGGCGTCCTGCAGGAGCTTCTCGTTCGAGCTCGGGTTGGCCATGGCGAACCGCAGGGCCATGAAGAGGAGGTGCATGTTCGCCCCCTGGCTGGAGAGGCGCCTGTTGAAGAATTGCGCACTTCGTCGCTCACCTCCTGTCCCGTGCGCGGACTCGTTGCTTCGCCCGTTGCCTTCTCCTCCCCAAGCTGTGCCGCGGCGGGAGAAGCTGCTCCGCCCAGTCGGCGTTACCCGGTTCGCCGTAATCTCCTCCAGGATGGTGGAAACCTTGGGATGATGGGCCTCGACCCTCATCCGCTCCTGGGCATCCTTGAAGAGACTCGGGTATGCCAGAGCTTCGGTCATCTCTTTGAGTTGCCCCCCAAGATCGAGCAGACGAGTCCCAACCATCGTTGTCACTATCTTGCCCTCGAGCTCGGGCAGCATCACGAACCACTCCACCTCCTCCGCGGCCTTCGCGGCGTCCTGGTCGAGCCGGCTGTTCAACCGGAGCACCTCCTCGTCGTCGAGAGCGCCCGCCGCAGACACGGGGTCCTGCATCGCGTGGTCTTCTTCGGCACCGCTGGGCCCCTCGGTCTCGCGCTCCACCAGGAGGACGAGGGCCCCCGGGCCGCGCCGCACCTCCCTGAGGATCGCCGCCGGCTGGGTGAGCCCGTTGGCGCTGGCGATCACGTCCCCAGGGCAGAGCCACGTCGACACGGCTGCGCCGTGGAAGGTCGCGCTCTGCTGCGCCTGGCACCACCTGTGGGCCGCGAGGCCGGGCTCCAGCCGGTACACTGCGACCACCTCCCGCTCGGCGCCGCCCCGCTCCAGGGAGCCCAAGTGGAGGCGGATGCCCCACCTGCGGGCTCGCCGAAGAGTGGGGGGCCTGGGGCGAGGGGATCCTGGCGCACATGCGCGCGGGCGCGAGAGTGGGCTTTTGGCGTCGCAGCGCGGCGGGGTCCGTCCGCACGCGCGCTCGGCAGGCCGGGAGCCGGCGCAGGCCCAGGGAGCGCACTCGAGGAGCACAAGTGGAGCCTGGGTGGTGCCATGGCCCCGGCCACGATATCCCCAGGGACCCCCGGTCCTCACCCCGCTCTTGGACGCCGCAGACACTAGAGGCCTCCCAGATGGGGTCCGAGTAGATGGGGCCGGAGGATCGCGCCGCACCGCCGATGCATCGCCGATGCATCAGCGATGCATCGGCCACGTCGGCGTAGAGAAAGTCAGGCTCCGCATCGAGCCGCACCGCCGATGCATCGGCGATGCGGCGCGATTCTCCGACCCCATCTGCTCCGAGCCCCATGTGGGAGGCCCCTTAGATGGACGCACCCGACACCTGACGGGCCCGGGCAGAGCGGTCGGCGGGCTCTGCATGATCATCTCAAGAAGCAGCCGCCGCCTCTTGGCCGAGAACACCCGGGGCCCGCTGACCAGCTCCACGGGCGCCGAGGCCCCGGCGATCAGCCTGGACGGACAAGCGAAGCGGGGCCGCTCTGGCCAGTCGTCCCGTCTCTGGCTCTCGCGGTGCTTGCCACAAGCGCTCCGGAACTTTGGCAGCGACAGTGGCCGGGACATGCCAGAGAAGGCCGTCCAGCCAGAGCTCCCGAGAGATGCAACGCAGGCCGAGTACGTGCGCCCCGACGGGAGCCCCGCCGAGACCCAGGCAGACAGGTGGTCTGGTCTGAAGGCGCCCACATCGTTCAGCTTGGGGCTCGTCAGGGGCATCGCCGTCGAGGTAAAGCCGTCGACAGCGTACCAGTCGCCACTACTCACGTCTTGGATGCAGAGGGCCCAGCCGCGGGCGCGGTCAAACTTTGACATGGACCAGTCCAAGACCAGGGTCGCCGTGGCCTCGTTCACCTCCAGCTGCGGCCGCAGCGGCACCAGCTGGCGGGTTGCAGGTCGAGCAAAATCTAATACTATGGGGATGCTCGTCCCGTGGCCTGGGGGCGCGGCGGATGCCGACTCTCCATCTTGGTCGCCAACCTCGTGATCGTGCCAGGCCCACTTGCCGTCAACCTTGATCAGCTGGTCAGACTCTATCACGCAGAGGTCCGGCCTCCCGCGCAGGTCCTGCCAGAAGTTCCACCGACCGAGCGGGGAGCCATCCAGCACCGACTCCACGACCCGAGCGCCCGTCCTGTCGTGGACGTCCCTGTCCCAGACGAAGCCCCAGGGGACCCGGGCGCTGGGGCGCACGAGCACCACCCGGAAGCAGCACAGGCACTTCTGGGCGTCCCTGCCGCCCCCCGACGCAGCTCTCAGCCGCTCCTCGCTGCCCCGGCAGGCAGAGGCGCTGCTGGCCCTCATGGGCGTGGGCACGTAGCTCGGGCGGCCCTCGGGGAAAACAGAAGCCGGAGGGCTCCCAAGGGGGGGTTCTGGGGGAGGGGGTTTTCCAGATAGCCCCCCAGGGGCCTCGAAATCTCGCCAAGCCAGGGGGTGCGAAGCCCCTGGGGGACCCCTCCTGGAGAACCCCCTCCACGAAAGCCCCCGTTTGGCACCCTCCGGAGAAGGGATGCCGGCACGGCCAGACCCAGGACACGTAACACGAGACCCTCCGCCGGCCAGACTGACACGCGAGGGTACCCTCCCTCTGGAGTCCCGAAACACAGTGCGGTGACAGACCGTGCGGTGACCTCGAGATCCCCTAAGAAGACCTCACCGCACGGTCCGTCAACGCACGGTTTTGGGACCTCGGGTGCCCCAGTCGCCCGAGACGTCCTCGGAGGACCCGAGTCCCAAAACCGTGCGGTGACCCCGAATCCCCACCGACTCACCACGCGGTGTGGTCACCACCCCGCGTGGGGGCCCCAGGACGCACCAAAAGACCTCGAGCAGGCGCGAAGAGCAGCAGGGCACGCTCCCCGAAGCGACCTCCATCACGCACCTCCGTGCGGCCGTGCTGCTGCTCCCCAGAACCCACCCTCGCGCAGGGCGCCCTCCCCGAAGCGACCTCGATGGTGCACCTCCGTGCGGCCGCGCTGCTGCTCCCCAGAACCCTCTGGGGGGATCGCCCAACCTCGCGCACCACGCCCCCGCCCCACGAGGTGCGGCGCGCGGACATGTCTGCGCCCCCTCGCGCCGCCGCCCCGGAGAAGGGCGCCCTCTCGGGCCCAGGCCGCGGTGTGCGAGTCGCGCGCCATCCTTTGGCGCTGCGCGCGAGGGGGTGGAGGGAGGGGGGGAGCTTCTTGGAGGGAGGCTGCTTCTTGGAGGGCGTCGGCCTTCCATCTGTGGATGAGGCCCGCACCCTCTAAGAAGCAGGGGTGTTTCTGAGAAGCCCTCCCCCTCCCCTCCCCCCCCCCTCCCCGCGCGCGGCTGACCCCTTCCCGCACCCACCGGGGGGTGGCCCAGGGACTCTGCGGCGAGTGCGCGCTCCGACCAGGGCTCCCGAGAGGATCCTGCACTTGCCGTGGCGACCAGGGCCCCCCTCCCCTGGAGGCCCAAGGAGGGCGAAGACGAGGGAAGGGCATCGGCATGCCAGAGGACAGAGCTGCACAACAACAACAACAACAGCAACAACAACAACAACAACAACAACAACAACAACTACAACAACCACAACAACAACAACAACAACAACAACAGCAGCAGCAGCAGCAGCAACAACAACAACAACAACAACAACAACAACAAGAACAACAACAACAACAACAACAACAACAACAGCAGCAGCAGCAACAACAACAACAATAAGAACTACGCTACCGAGGAACCCCACATACCTATTATGTTTCCCATGTGTACCATCGGTGCTACTGTTGCTGCTCCTCCTTCTCCTCCTCGGTGTCCTCCTCCTGCTGCTGCTTCTGCTGCTGCTGCTTCTGCTGCTGCTGCTGCGTCTGCTGCTGCAGCTGCTACTGCTGTTGCCGCTGCTGCTGCCCCACCTCCCCGTCCTCCTCCTCCTCCTCCTCCTCCTCCTCCTCCTCCTCCTCCTCATCATCATCATCATCCTCATCCTCATCCTCATCCTCATCCTCATCCTCATCCTCATCCTCATCCTCCTTCTCTTCCTCCTCCTCCTCCTCCTCCTCCTCCTCGTCCTCCTCCTCCTCCTCCTCCTCCTCCTCCTCCTCTCCACCTCCTCCTCCTCCTCCTCCTCCTCCTCCTCCTCCTCCTCCTCCTGCTCCTCTACCTCATCCTCCTACCTCCCAGCGCACCCCCTGTGGCGTCGACGACGACATGCCACGCCTGCCACGCCCTGGGAGCCTGCAGCGCATAGGGCCCCCACCCCCAGCGCACCCCCTGTGGCGTCGAGGAAATACCACGCCTGCCAGGCCCTGGGAGCCTGCAACGCATAGGGCCCCCACCCCCAGCGCACCCCCTGTGGCGTCGAGGAAATGCTACGCCTGCCACGCCCTGGGAGCCTACAACGCACGGGGCCCCCACCCCCAGCGCACCCCCTGTGGCGTCGAGGAAATGCCACGCCTTCCACGCCCTGGGAGCCTACAACGCATAGGGCCCCCCCACCCCCAGCGCACACCCTGTGGCGTCGAGGGAATGCCCTGTGTGCTATGCTGCGCTTTGCTGTGCTGTGCTGCTGTGCGGTGAGCTGTGTTGTGCTGTGACGTCCTGTGCTGTGCTGTGCTGTGCTGCGCTGAGTTGAGCTGAGCTGAGCTGTGCTCAGCTGTGCCGTGCTGAGCTGACCTGAGCTGTGCTGAGCAGCGCTGTGAGGAGGGCGTAGATGTTTTTCGCCCGGGTTGGTTTTCTCCCGGTGCGTTTCGCCCGGTTCGTTTCGCCCGGGTTTGCTTTCGCCCGCTTGGCTTTCACCCGGGTTGATTTTCGCCCGGGTTGGCTTTCGCCCGGGTTGGCTTTCGCCTGGGTTGGCTTTCGCCCGGGTGGCTTTCGCCCGGGGTGGCTTTCGCCCGGGTTGGCTTTCGCCCGGTTGGTTTTCGCCCGGTTGGCTTTCGCCCGGGTTGGCTTTCGCCCGGTTGGCTTTCGCCGGGGTTGGCTTTCGCAGGGGTTGGCTTTCGCCCGGGTTGGCTTTCGCCTGGGCTCGTTTTCGCCTGGGTTCAGCGCCGCGGGGCCCGGCGCCGCCCTGGCCGGCGGTGCCGCCCCAGCCGCGGTGCCCGAGGCCGCTAGCCCTCGCTTGGTGCCAACGAACCGGCGTGGGCTCAAATTGCTTCACGCAGGCTACTGCTACAGAATCAAGCACACCAGCAAGAAAGGCGTCTCAATGTGGGAGTGCTACAAATGCTCCGCGCCCATCAGGAGCGCGGGGGCCACGGGCATGGATCCCGGGCGAAGGCCCCGGGCCGGCCCCGACACAACCCGCCCGTTAGGGTCCGCCCGACGCGCCCCGCCCGTTAGGTCCGCCCGCCCGATCGGACCCGCACGCTAATGTTCGCGCGTGCGCACTCGAGCGCGCCCCCACACTTTAGTGTTCCGCCCGCCCGACTCGACCCGCCCGTCAGGGTCCGCCCAACCCGACCCGACCCGCCCCGCCTGTTAGGGCCCGCCCGACCCGACCCAACCCGCCCGTTAAAGCTCGCGCGCGCTCGTCCCGCCGCGCCCAACACTTTAGCGCCCCGCCCGCCCGACCCGACCCGCCCGTTAGGGCCCGCCCGGCCCGACCCGACCCGCACCGCCCATTAAAGGGTCCGCCCGCCCGACCCGACCCGCCCGTTAGGGTTCACGCGTGCTCACTCGAGCGTGCGCCCACACTTCAATGTTGCCCCTGGTTAGCTCGACCCGACCCGGACCCGCCCCGCCCGCTGGGGCCCGCCCGGCCCGAACCGACCCGCCCGCTAGGGTTCACGCGTGCTCACTCGAGCGCGCCCCACACTTTAGCGCCCCGCCCGCCCGACCCGACCCGCCCGTTAGGGCCCGCCCGACCCGACCCGACCCGCCTCGCCCACCAGGGTCCGCCTGCCCCACCCGACCCGCCCGCCAGGGTTCACGCGCGCTCACTCGAGCGCGCCTGGCGCCCCGCCTGCCCGACCCGACCTTCCCGCCAGGGCCCGCCCGACCCGAACCCGCCCCGCCCGTTAGGGTCCGCCCGACCCGACCCGACCCGCCCGCTAGGGTTCCGCGTGCTCGCTCGAGCGCGCCCCACATTTTAGCGCCCCGCCCGCCCGACCCGACCCGCCCGTTAGGGCCGGGCCCGCCCGACCCGACCCGACACGCCCGCTAGGGTTCACGCGTGCTCACTCGAGCGCGCCCCGCACTTTATTGCCCCGCCCGCCCGACCCGACCCGCCCGTCAGGGCCAACCCAACCCGACCCGACCCGCCCCCCCCGCCAGGGTCCGCCTGCCCCGCCCGACCCGCCCGCCAGGGTTCGCGCGTGCTCACTCGAGTACGCTTCCACACTTTACTGCCCCCCCTGCCCGAGCCGACCTGCCCGCTAGGGCCCGCCCGACCCAAACCCGCCCCGCCCGTTAGGGCCCGCCCGACCCCAACCCGCCCCGCCCATTAGGGCCCGCCCGACCCGACCCGACCCGCCCGGTAGGGTTCACGCGTGCTCACTCCGCCCCGCCCGTCAGGGTCCGCCCGACCCGACCCGGCCCGCCCATTAGGGTTCACGCGTGCTCACTCGAGCGCGCCCCACACTCTCGCGCCCCGCCCGCCCGACCCGACCCGCCCGTTAGGGCCCGCCCGACCCGACCCGACCCGCCCGTTAATTAGGGTTCACGCGCGCCCACTCGAGCGCGCCCCACACTTTAGCGCCACGCCCGCCCGACCCGGCCCGCCCGCTGGGGTCCGCCCGACCCGACCCGACCCGCCCGTTAATTAGGGTTCACGCGTGCTCACTCGAGCGCGCCCCACACTTTAGCGCTCCGCCCGCCCGACCCGACCCGCCCGTTAGGGGACCGCCCGACCCGACCCGACCCGCCCCGCCCGTTAGGATCCGCACGCCCGACCCGGCCCGCGCGCGAGGGCCCGCTCGACCCGCCCCGCCCGTTAGGGTCCGCCCACCCGATCGGGCCCGCACGCCGGGGCCCACGCGTGCCCACTTGAGCGCGCCCCGCACTTTTTAGCGCCCCGCCCGCCCGACCCGACCCGCCCGTTAAGGCCCGCACGGCCCCGACCCGACCCGACCCGCCCCGCCCGCCAGGGCCCGCCCGCCCCACCCGACCCGCCCGCCAGGGTTCACGCGAGCTCGCTCGAGCGCGCCCCGAACCTCAGTGCCCCGCAGCATCCGGGACCTCCTTGACCCCCCCCCCACGTCCCTGCGACCCTTTCGCCTACTCAAGCGGCGCGCCTCAAAGGCTCCCGGGGGTCAGCACGGCGGCGGCGACGGCCACGCCAGCGACGGCGGCGCCTGCTTTGCCCCTGAGCCTGCCCCGCCTGCCCCCCGCCCGGCCCCGGCGAAAGCCAACCCCGGCGAAAGCCAACCCCG